AATCACAATATTACTGCTTTTGCTGTATTTTGGATCAAATAAATGCAGGTTTGGTGAGAAAAGACTTCTTTAAAAAACATTAAAAAAAATATTACTGTTCAAAAACTTTTGACTGGTAGTGTATGTATGTATGTATGTATGACAGTCATATCACATCTAGTTGTTTTGGATAAGAATAAAACTTCAGGTCCGACAATATCGTGTCTTTTTTCATTTAAATCCATGATAACTTAACATAAATATGACTATAAAAGGGTGTGTTATAGTTTTTATATTCCTAACAAAAGCATTACTTGGCTCTTTAGATGCATTTTCTAGATTTTTTTTTTAGTTTTGTGTGAGGATGATATTTGGCTATGTCCCATGCACTGCTCATTAAATCTGAATGAGAGTAGAATAAAGTCAAATCCTAAAATTTTAAACTTTTGTTCTCCTATTAATATTTTGTTAAATAAGAGATGACTCAATTTGAGTGTATTGATCATTTGGTAATAAAAATAAAATTTTTATTTAATAAAAAAAAGTTTGTCCATGTCTCTTGAATGGTTGTCCACCCTGTCGTATTGGGGGATCCGCCCCTTTAAGAAAAGGCCATCCACTTTAGTGACATCAGGACAACAGATTTTTTTTGTCTCTTCAGTGGTGGGAATTTCAACGGCTGAGTTGAGTAAGTTGTTGACTTTTCAACTGACAAATTTTCTTCGTATGAGTTTGCTTACTTGCTTTGCCAAAGCTTAACATGGCAAGTTAATTTGTAAGCTAATATGCTAATTGAAGCTCAAAATGTCGATGGGGGTGTATATCAATGTGATTGAGAATGTAATTATATTATTTATTATTATTATATTATTTTTTTCAAAGTTGAATAAATGTTTCATTGTCATATTTTCTCATGCTTTGTGTGTTCTGCTTTATGTCCACCCCGTTATGTGCTGGTCCACCCTGTCATCTTGATATTTTAAAATAATATTTAAATAATAATTCAATCATATCTATATAATTGTCATGGAGTCTCTGCCTTCACAGTCACCTACGTCACCTCAGTCACCAGCCCCGACACACACCAGATCGCAATCACCAGAATACTGATCACCCGCACCTGCAGAGACTCATTAGGCGCACTATATTCCTGCACTCCTCTCACTGCCTCACTGTCCGGTCTACCCTTCACCAGCTTGAACTTAGCCTGACGCCTACCTTTATCTGACCTGTTGTTTATTTACCCCTAGAAGCTCCATCGATCCTGATCGCCAACGATCCCGTTCTCATCCTCTCCGGATACCTGCAAAGGATACCAACGAACTACCCAGAGCTAAGAACCCAAGAACTCTCTAGCATCTCATACTCACCTGTCATCTACTTGCTCTCCACATTGTTCAATAAACCCTCGTTTGCATCCTTACCTTGTGTCTCTGGCTCGTAGTGTGACAGAAGACCGGACCTTGGACATACACCTCCATGGATCCCCGGGTTCCCACACCCACAGAGGTACTGGAGGAATTGTTCAACACAATCCGGGCCTCTCTCACGCCAGTCACTACCCCGCAATCTGTCTCTGTAAGTCCCATGGCTACACCTCTATGGATCCCCGGGTTCCCACGTCCGCAGAGGTACTGGAGGAATTGGTCCACACCCTCCGGGCCTCTCTCACGCCAGTCACTACCCCGCCATCTGCCTCTGTAAGTCCCATGGCCATACCTGCTTGCTATGCTGGTGGCGCAGCTGAGTGCGGCGGCTTCCTTCTCCAAGTGGCATTGTTTATTGAGATGCAGCCGCAGAAATTCTCCACGGAACGCTCGAAGGTAGCCTTCTTGATTTCCCTGCTAACTGGCAGAGCACTGTTGTGGGCACGAGCAATATGGAATGCCAAAATTGCCATAATCAACTCATATGATGCTTTCACTAATCATTTCAAGGAAGTGTTTGGCTCTGCTACAGGAATGCTATCATTCCCTGACCAACTCCTGCGGCTGCATCAAGGCTCTTCTACCACCAGCAAATACACCCTGCACCCTGCGAATAGTGGCTGGAACGAAACCGCTCTCCTCAGTGCCTACCGGCCACAGTGGATATCATCCTGGGATGCCCCTGGCTCACTCTCCACTCTCCAGAGGTCAGATGGGAGCCCTGTGAGGTAACTCGCTGGAGCGAGTTGTGCCGGCAAAACTGTCTTGTGGAGATCCCCAAACCGCCAGCGTATCTAGTCCGAGCCCAAGTTGCCTCCACCCTAGTCAAAAGTCCGGAAACTCAGGAGACACCTACTGTCCCATCTGACTGTGGCGTTCCAGGATGTACTCCTCTCACTGCCTCACTGTCCGGTCTACCCTTCACCAGCTTGAACTTAGCCTGACGCCTACCTTTATCTGACCTGTTGTTTACTTACCCCTAGAAGCTCCATCGATCCTGATCGCCAACGATCCCGGTCTCATCCTCTCCGGATACCCAATCTGACTCTGTGGTATTCTAGGATGTTTTTAGTAAGCAGGCCGCCACCCGCCTTCCACCTCATCGGCCATGGGACTGTGCCATCGACCTGCTGCCTGGGATAAAATTCCCCAAGGGTAGAGTATACCCTCTGTCCATCCCGGAGCGCAAGGCCATGGAGGATTACATCCAGGAGGCTCTCAAACAGGGATTCGTCCAACCATCCACCTCACCAGCTGCCTCGAGCTTCTTCATAGGCAAGAAGGACGGGGGCTTGAGGCAGTGTATCGATTATCGCACACTGAACTCCCAGATGGTAAAGCTGCCATACCCACTTCCCCTGGTCCCAGCCGCCCTCGAGGAACTCCGTGGAGCCTGCATCTTCTCCAAGTTGGACCTGCGGCGCGCGTACAACCTCGTTCGTATCCGGGAAGGCGACGAGTGGAAGATGGCATTCATAACTCCCGCAGGCCACTATGAATATCGGGTCATGCCGTATGGCCTAGCTAACTCACCGTCAGTCTTCCAAGGCTTCATGAATGAGGTGTTCCGGGAGTTCCTTCATCGCTTCGTGATAGTCTACATCGATGATATCCTCATATATTCCCGGAACCTGGCCGAACATCGCCACCACGTGAAGCAGGTCCTCCAGAGGCTCCGACAACATCACCTTTACCTTAAACTGGAGAAGTGCGAATTCCATCGCTCCACGGTTCAGTTCCTCGGTTAAGTCATCAGCCGGGATGGGATTCAGATGGACCAAGGGAAGGTAACAGCCATCAAGGAGTGGCCGCAGCCCCAAACTGTTAAGGACCTGCAAAGATTCCTTGGATTCGCAAACTTCTACCGACGGTTTATCAAGAACTTCAGCATACACACAGCTCCTCTTACCTTCCTGCTCAGAGGAAAGCCCAAGTCCCTGTCCTGGAGCCCCAATGCCCACAGAGAATTCAAACAACTCAGGGAAGCCTTCAGCATGGCCCCCATCCTTCGTCATCCCGATCCCCAAGCTCCCTTTGTGATGGAAGTGGACGCCTCCACCACCGGAGTCGGGGCCGTGCTGTCGCAGCACTGTGGTGAGCCTCCCAGCCTCCATCTTTGCGCTTACTTTTCAAGAAAACTGACCTCAGCGGAGCAGAACTACGACATCGGCAACCAGGAACTGCTCGCCTTCAAATTAGCTCTGAAGAAGTGGCGTCACTGGCTGGAGGGAGCCCACCATCCTTTCACTGTCATCCCCGACTATAAAAATTTGCAATATCTAAGAGATTCAACCCACGTCAAGCCAGATGGGCATTGTTCTTTATTCTGTTCCAGTTCACCATCACTTACCGTCCCGGAAATCTCAACTGCAAAGCCGATGCCCTATCGCGCCTGCACTCTTACGACACACCCACC